CCACTTGTTTGGCCAATACCTCATATGCTTGCTCTGCTGGGGTCCTTGGGTGGACTACGGTGGGACTGCCACCCTGCAGCTTTGCTTCTCCAGTCCGAACGACCGGTAACTCGCACCACTGGCCATTCGCATAGGTTCGGAGTTTGTCAGACTGAAAATACCAGGCCACCTTGTGTTCCGTCAGCCAATCCAAACCCAAGACTAAGTCATAGGGGACGGTTCCCACTAAGATGTCCCCGGAAAAATGTGCATGTCCGCACCACAGCGTCAATCCCGTCACAACCCGATCAATGCGTAGTTGTGCACCTGTAGCTATGGTGAACCAATGCTCTTCCGGAAGTCTCCGCACTTTCAGCTGCAGTCGTTCGACTGTTTTACGACTAATGAAACTTCTCGAAGCCCCAGTGTCCAAGAGGGCCTCACAAGGACTCCCTGCGAGCTCAACGCGAAGTACCGCCGTCGCACCCATACAACACAACGCTCCCCCTTTGTCGTAAGACTCTTTCGTGCAAGTCTCTCTCCACCAGTGTGGGACAATCTCTGTTGCGTCTGACCTATAGCCGTCTTCTATTGCCTCTGCAGACTTTCTGCTGCTATCCGTCGTCGCTTCTGGAGCCTCTTCACTCAGGATCGACGCCGACCCAGACTCCCACAGCATTTCCGAAGGCGGCTGAGGCCCTTCCGCGTGCCCATCGCTCGTATTAGTTCTTTCCGCAGTGCTGAGGAGTTGGTTTCCTCATTCAAGGGAGACTGGAATGGCATTAGGGCCTGTCGCTACCGCACACATTATCCCTTTGCCATGGCTACGCGGCCTAGAACGCTCGTCTCCAACCACGCCTAGGCCCGCACGTTTAATTCTTCCGTCTTCTCAGTGCTAGGACGGGTGGGCTCCCTACTGCCCTTGTCCACCGACTTGGGCCGGCCTCGTTCATACGTAGGACAGTCCCGAGCGTAGTGTCCCACACCGCCACACTTCTTGCAGATTTCCCCCGGACGTCTGGTACGGTCCCCTTTGCTGGGGCAGATACGTGCCGGATGTCCGCGACCCTGACACTCAGAGCAGTTCGCGTGGGTTTCCCCAGAGCGATTTTCAATTTCCTGGCGCCCACAAGGTCCATTAGCTTGGACGCCAGTCCTAATGACTCGACTGGTCCTTTCTCGGAGTTCCAGCACACTCTGCTTGGGCTCGTAGAGCCGTGTTGCGGCTGTCGCCGCTTGTTCCCACGATTTATATTTCACTTGTCCGTTATTGGTTACTAGAATATGGAGGTCTGTCGGTAGCCCGGTGCAGTAGTAGTCAACGAGTTCGTCGGGGGCAAAACCCAACCCACGTTCCGCTACAGCCGCGAACCGCTCCGTGTATTCCTTCGGGTTACCATTCCACCGTACTTTAGCCAACTCCGTTAACAATTGACTCTAAAACATTGTTTTGTCAAACCGCTCCAAAAGCCTGCGCTGTACTGTTGCCCAGTCGCTTAGGTCGATAGTTCTCCCTAGATACATCCAATACGTTAGAGCCGGGCCCACAAGGCGGTCTATAAGTGCATTTCCCCACTCGCGCGGTTCCAATCCCATCTGGGTGTACCGGCGATCGATGCGCAGCAGAAAGGCCTGCATAGTCCCGCCGTCTTCTGGTAGCATTGGATTCATTGCGCCGGATTCCACGGTCCCCCCTATAACAGTTCTTATCACACTCATAGCGGACTGGAATCGGTCCCACGTGACGAAGGGACTGTCCCCTGGCATAACATTGGTCATAGGTATCACCTGTGGGGGCGCCTCCTTATGCCCATGCGGCCGCTCTGCCACGGTGGGCTTCATAGTCGCGTGGCGATGATGGGCCGGCGTCCCGGTATTTTGTTGACTGACATTGTAGAAGTCTCCTGCGGTGTGGGGCCGATAATGCGTCCATTGCGGAGATGCATCCCTTACCGAGCGAAGGTTTCTAGGCACGAGTTACTAAAACATAGTATTGCTACTCCCAAGTCCGAAAAGAACAAAGATTTCAATCCCGGAGCAGCCCCCAAATGTAGTGCACAGCGCCTACTGCTGCGACTATGCTGCTACCTGCCCCTCGAGCAGACCTACAAACTACACGTAGCGCTGGCCCTTTTCCTGAAAACTGTAGCTTATTTTCATCGAAATATCTTAATTCGTAAGTGTTTCAAAGCTTGTCTGCTCGATTCGCCCCAGTCTGGGAGCTCGCCTCCTAGGCCCTATGGGGAGGAGGCCTGCACTGGTGCCGGCGCTATCGCCAGCCCCAGTCTCCACACAATTTCCACACATTTCACGTATGCAATTGAACTAATGGACAGTTTTTTTTACTTTCATCCTATTAGGAGGGTCCTGTCCCCCTCCAGTGTTGCGACCCCTTGTAGCTCGCTAGCTAGCTATCGTCTCTAGGACACTAGCCAGGCCTCCTGTAGTGCCTGTGCACTACAGGAGGCCTGCACTGGTGCCGGTGCTAGCTCCAGCCACACTCTCCACGCATTTTCAGGCACCTCTAGTGTATGCACGTTGATTCGCAGACAAATTGCCTTACTTTGATCCTCGTAAGAGGGTCCTGTCCTCCTCCAGTGTTGCGACCCCTTGTAAGTCGCTAGCTAACTATCTTCTATAGGTTACCAGCAAGCTCTATTGTAGTCCCAGTGCACTAGAGAGACCCTTGTCTGTCTCATGTTGCTCCAGATTAACGAAATCCTGTGCTATGCACAGCATAAGAACGACTGCCAGTATACACCACATTTGCTCGCTGTACGTTGTATGCATACACTAGCTTTTCCACTACCGCGCATAGGGACCCAAACAAAGTCATTGAGTAGGAAAAGCTGAAATTTTCCTTACTGCAATAGCATCAAGCCACAGGCTACCAGTAAAGCCTTGGCTGGTGTACTTTAAATTTTTATGCGGCAGTATATCAGATCCTTCCGCCGTATTTTCAAGTGCTGAAATCCTATTCCCACAATTCTTAAATTCCAGCCGTACTGCAAAGCCTGTAACACGATAACTGTAGCGCAGTATCGTCAATAAATCAACGACTGGCCATCAAAGCCTAAGCACCACTACAGCAGGAAACACCCATATGCTTGTAGCACCGGTCTACCCGATATAATGCCAGAGCGTGGTAAGCTCATTCCATTTATTCAACGCCATTGTAGTGCCTGCGCACTACACCTGGGGATGACTATGCCAATTCGTAGCCGTGACTTGGCTGATAACGGCCAATCAATTTTAAGTACGGGAGCACTGGAGCACAAAACACTTGAGTTGTGCGCATTTTGTTGGGCCCGTTTCGGTCTTTTCCAGGTAGGCTCAATGCACTAAAGCATCGCCGTGTAAAATACTATTATAGCTTGTCTTTCCAATAGCATTGATCCCAGTTTTGTGAATAGTGTCTCTACTGAGTTCAGGCAATACAAGTCGGATGCCTGGATGAGAGGAAGGTGAAAAGGCTTTTTCATACTCTCCATGGGTCGAAAGCTCTACGTGCCCACTGACGCTGTTCCGCGCCTTGATCTCCAAGTCCTGGATCCAAACTATCTTAGCATGTAGTTGTGCAGAAAAGAGCAAAAGTTACAACGAGGCCATATTCTTTGAAGTGGCCCTTAAGGGACAGAAAATTTCAAGCTCAATTGCGCACGTCAGTACAGGGCGAGTTTGAAGAGAATTCAACTTCACTATCGCGCGAAATCTACACATGTACGAGAAGAGAATCTCAGATAGTGCAGAGAGTAGACCACTACTCAAGAGGAACGTTGAATTCTGCACACCACAAGCTAGAGGTTTTGGAATTCGCTGGGGACAAAGCTGAAGCTAAGTGCCTGTGAAGATCACAACCCAATCGCTAGATTAGCGTGGGGCCTGAGAATGGTGTCCTTAATGTTTCGAATCAATGAATAGGAGTACTAGCAGAGCAGCTTCGAGGATATAACACTCACGCTAAGAGCTTGCAGTTGGCACTATGCGACTCTTTATTGCCTGATTTCTACTGAAATTAATGAAAGTGTGAAGCTGCGCGTCCAACCACAGCTGTAGCAAGCCCTGTTTCCATTTTTACCATACTTTGTTTTGTGTCCAGAATGCCCCCACGTAAGCATGATTGCACTACAAGCCCTAAACCGTTCCCGTGGGAAGTCAAAAGACGTTATCACGGTAAGTCTTGTCAACAGTACTCTACAACCCTTGCAGAACAATTTCAGAATTTCGAGAGGCATCTTCGCATCCGTCGATTGAAACTTTTCGATGAAGCTAATCGAGCTGCAGTGCAACTCTCCACAGAAGTTGATGCGGCACTGAACCAGAGCACCGCAAGAATGAACTGAATGCTTCGACAGAGGCAATACTTGAACCGATAAGCATTTTATGGGACTTTTTTCAGTGTCCAGTTCAACACGACGGTGTTAACTGTGCGCTAGAACAACGGTAGACAGCGCGATCGAGATTGCAAGTGGGGCACCGACGTTGAGACCGTCGGAAATATTTGAAAGCGCATACGTCAAAATTTGCTTCATCAAACAAGGGAAATATGTCTTTGCCGAATGCGCTTGCCTAGGGTGGAACAGAAGGAACGAAACCTCGCCGGAGGGAGACCGGGGCACGTCATTGGGGAAAAAGACGGGAGGCGACGACGGTGATAGAATCACCCGTGCATGCGCCTATGCAAATTTTTGAGTGATTGTGCCTATCAAAAATCTAGTTTTCCTTTTCATGTTAGTTTTCTCCAACTACCCGTTTTTTTGGCGATGCGAAAATAACCACGGCAATCAGAGAAGCAGACGGCATCATATGGCAGAAACCGTTCCATGCTTTTTCACAAATAATGTCGTAAATTTGAGTTGATTTGGAAGAAAGTGTCGAGCGGAACTTCTTGATGCTGAATGCCTCTCGAGTTTTCGGTTCGTAACTGGCGCTTCGACAGCATTCTGCACGGTTTAACGCAAATAAGGTTTCGAGTGGGCCTTCCCCGTGCATTTGAGCCCTGAAGTGCAGACTCAGGTACAATGGCAGACGCATTGTGGCCTGGCCAGGCCGCTGGCCTGGGCCAAGGCTGGGAACAACTAAGGGACGAACCGCTATCGACAAGAGCAAAGAGTCAAGCGGACAGTATGGAGGCTGACAAGCCGGTCCAGAGTTTCCACCCAACGAAAGAGGCGTCTTCTTCTTACCGCTGGAAAAATTTTGCAGCGATTGGGGCAGCGATGCTGTTGGCTCTGACGCTGACGTTAGGAATAACCAAGGCACGACAAAGGGCAGGAACTGACATGGCGCCATCAAAGCCAGAATATTTGCAGCCTTCTGAAGGAAGCCAGCAAGAATTTTCTACAAAACAATTAGAAGACGTCGCCGAGTCCCTGCAAGCCAATAAGGTCCAGGCAACTGTAGCCGACGAAGTTACTGGAGGCACCGTCCCTCCACCTACTCCCGAACAGCAAGCAGATGAGGCTGAAAAGGAGCCACAAGAGCTAGCAGAAGGAACGGCTGAACAAGCCTACTTACAGGCGCAGCACACGCCAGATCCCCCAATCGAGTCAACGCACACAGCGGCGCATGGAGAAGAGGACAAGGTGAAGCCTCGAGCTGCTAGGGCTGCGGGGGGGCCGGAAGAATCAGCAGAATCAGGAAAGGGTAAAGAGGGAACCGGAGGTAGTTCTGTAGCGGAGTCTGGAGCAGGAGAGGAGGAGCCGCCGGCAGGCGGTGACAATGTGATATCTCGAGCTGCTGGGGCTGCGGGGGAGCCAGAAGGCTCAGCAGAATCAGGAGAGAGTGAGGAGGAGCCGGAAGGCAGTTCTGTAGCGGAGTCTGGAGCAGGAGAGGAGGAGCCGCCGGCAGGCGGTGACAATGTGACATCTCGAGCTGCTAGGGCTGCGGGGGAGCCAGAAGGCTCAGCAGAATCGGGAGAGAGTGAAGAGGAGCCGGAAGGCAGTTCTGTAGCGGAGTCTGGAGCAGGAGAGGAGGAGCCGCCGGCAGGCGGTGACAATGTGATATCTCGAGCTGCTAGGGCTGCGGGGGAGCCAGAAGGCTCAGCAGAATCAGGAGAGAGTGAAGAGGAGCCGGAAGGCAGTTCTGTAGCGGAGTCTGGAGCAGGAGAGGAGGAGCCGCCTGCAGGCGGTGACAATGTGATACCTCAAGCTGCTGCACCTGAGACGGCTGAGCTCACTGGAGTAGGCGGTCCTGCGGTGCCGAGGGAGGCTTTTAAGGAGAAGCCGATGCCGCCCGTAGAGGCGCCAGTGCAGCTTGGGCCTGTCACGACTCCAACACCTGAGGAGGAGGCGGCGTCGACAGAAGATGGAGAGTTGATTGGAGTAGGCGGTTGCTCGACACCGAGGGAGTCTCTGGAGGAGAAGCCGACGGCGCCCGTAGAGACGCCAGTGCACATTCGGCCTTTCACGACGCCAACGACTGGAGAAGATGAGGACTCGACAGAAGATCAAGAGTCGACTCGAGAGGACGGTTTTTCGACGCCGACAGAATCTTTGGACGAGATCACGACGCCGCCCGTAGGGACGCCAGTGCAGGATGGGACTTTCGCGACGCCAACGCCTGAAGAGGAGGCGGAGTCGACAGAAGATGCAGACATGACTGGGGAAGGCGGTTTTTCAACGCCGACAGAGTTTTTGGAGGAGATGCTGACGCCCCCCGAAGAGACGCCAGTGCAGGTTGGGCCTGTCACGGAGCCAACGCCTGAAGAGGAGGCGGAGTCGACAGAAGATGAAGAGCTGGCTGGTGTAGACAGCCCATCCCCGCTGACGCAGCCTCTGGAGGAGAAGCGGACGGCGCCCGTAGAGACGCCAGTGCAGGTTGGCCCTCTCACGACGCCAACGCCTGAGGAGGAGGCGGAGTCGACAGAAGATGAAGAGCTGGCTGGTGTAGACAGCCCATCCCCGCTGAAGGAGCCTTTGGAGGAGAAGCGGACGGGTCCCGTAGAGACGCCAGTGCAGGTTGGCCCTCTCACGACTCCAACGCCTGAGGAGGAGGCGGAGTCGACAGAAGGTGAAGAGCTGGCTGGTGTAGACGGCCCATCCCCGCCGACGCTGCCTTTGGAGGAGAAGCGGACGGCGCCCGTAGAGACGCCAGTGCAGGTTGGGCCTGTAACGGAGCCAGCGCCTGAAGAGGAGGCGGAGTCGACAGAAGATGAAGAGCTGGCTGGTGTAGACGGCCCATCCCCGCCGACGCTGCCTTTGGAGGAGAAGCGGACGGGTCCCGTAGAGACGCCAGTGCAGGTTGGCCCTCTCACGACGCCAACGCCTGAGGAGGAGGCGGAGTCGACAGAAGGTGAAGAGCTGGCTGGTGTAGACAGCCCATCCCCGCTGACGGAGCCTTTGGAGGAGAAGCGGACGGGTCCCGTAGAGACGCCAGTGCAGGTTGGGCCTGTCACGGAGCCAGCGCCTGAAGAGGAGGCGGAGTCGACAGAAGATGAAGAGCTGGCTGGTGTAGACAGCCCATCCCCGCCGACGCAGCCTTTGGAGGAGAAGCGAACGGGTCCCGTAGAGACGCCAGTGCAGGTTGGCCCTCTCACGATGCCAACGCCTGAGGAGGAGGCGGAGTCGACAGAAGATGAAGAGCTGGCTGGTGTAGACAGCCCATCCCCGCTGACGGAGCCTCTGGAGGAGAAGCCGACGGCGCCCGTAGAGACGCCAGTGCACGTTGGGCCGTTGGAGGCGCCAAAGGCCGATGCTGAGGCATCGGCGGACACAGATGACGAAGTTGCCCCTGCAGGAGCTCCTTCGAAGCGGCGTCGCCGGAGAAGACGCCATCGGCACCTGTAAAGACACCGGCAGTAATAGGGCCTTTTTTGTTGCAGTTGGTTGAATGCGCGGGTTTTGTAAATGGTGCTGATGTGGCGACTGGAGCACAAGGTCATGAGGCGTTGACAGATTCTGCGGAGGAAACACCGGCGTCACTTCCAGAAAGCCAATGGTCATTCATCTTTCAGGGGCTCCAGAGCCTGGAGAGGAGGCTTGGTGCTGCATTTGGACAAAGACGTTTTGCTAGGCTGTAGAAGCTTCTTGGGCGGACACTGAAAGTTTCAGGATTATTCGTCTCTTTTGGTTTCTAAAATCTCTCTTTTTCGCCAACGAAAGCTTCGGCTCAAGCTGTTGGTGGACATATTTTAGGGCACAGCCTTGAGTTTGCAATTGTCCGCAGTGAAGGCGGTTGCAACTGTGGACGTTGTAGTCATTCTGCTGAGGCACAGCTTACACCTGGCATTGTGCGAGATAGAGCATGCTCCCAGCGTCGCCAAAAAGCACTGGGCACTGCAAGTGTGCCAGTCCTAAGTGGGTCTGGAGTAGCTTACTCTCTGCATAAGGGTTAACTGAAGATGATGTTTGGCAAGCAGAAGCAGGAGTGTCTTTTGTACGTGGTAAGACTCGACCTAAATGATATGGCTTTGGGATGGTGATGTGAAACATGACATTCGACCTGTGACGCTACAGAATTTGACGTTCTCAACAAGGCGCTTTGCCGAATTGACATCAAAAGCCACAGCTTGATTTGTGGATTAAGCGCGTTTTCGGCACTGTAAGAGAAACATGGGATTAACGCGCTTGCTTCACACCTCGCTATCCTTTCCCAACTTGTGACGCTTGCGTGTCTAAATTCATCTTAATCATCTTCGGCAGAGCGAGATAAATATCGTAGCCGGCTCATTGTAAACTCACAAAATATTTAGCCTGGTCCCTTTTGTGAACCGGTCTGCAATGCGGATTGTGGCACAGCAGACTTGTAGCTGAACATGTCTAGAACATTTCTAGGACTCATGCGTGATATGGGTCCTCATGAGGAAGGATGTAGATAGGATTAGTTGGCTGAGTTTTCGACGTTTCTCTTCTTATCTCTACGCAAGAGAAGGCGGGGACAGTATACTTTCGCCTAGTCTAAACTTCACGGCAACGTAAAGAGGGATTGTATTGGAATAGAAGCACGCAGTTCCATTTTGCCCTCTAAAATGGAACTGTTTTAGCTCATTCTTCTACACATTTGTGACTGAGAAGCAATTAGGCGGTCATTGGTCCACAGGCATAGTGTTGTTTAAAACTAGAAGCCAATACACAAACAATAAGATGACAGCAGGCGGTGTGGACGCATCTTGGTCTCTGCGTGTCCCTGAGAACGTGGTTGAAAGCAGTCATATACACATAAGCGATGAGCATAATGCTGCAGTTGAAGTTTGGGCAGCTCTTCACTGATTAGGCTACTTCCTAGAAATAGAATCTGAGGTAGGAAGAAACCACACTTCTTGGCGCCCGCTGACACGCGTACGAAATGACACACTCGAGCTTCAAATTCATTCGTGTTACTGTGGCATATCGAGGTTGGCGGAATTTCCCGCTTACACCCAACTGGCATTCCCGCGACAACATTTTGTGTAGACATAGCAACAAAAGGCATGCTTCAGTACTTTGACTATAAGTGCAAACTAGGAAAGTATAGAGCTTACCGCATCGAATGATTCGATTTTGCGATGAAACACCTGTTTAATTATCAGGACAAAAAGTACCATGGCAACTCTGCAATCCGTTAGTTTGCAACTTGCAGCAATAATGTTAGAATTTATGCTGAGTGAGCAGCGATGCCTGTTTCCTCACTTGCCTTCTGCCTACACTTTTAGTGCTTCGAGAATAACGTTTGTAAATACCTCCTTGCCGTTTCCCTTGGGTGGCCCACCCAAATGTTTCAATTTGGAAAGGCAACATGGCCATAAGCGTTTGGCTGCCGAAGGCTGCTTGCATCAAAGCCAATTTCTCTTGCCCCTGTAATGTAAAATTTTGTGCACCAAGAGCTTTGATGTGGAGCAAGCTTCAACTTTCCCAGAGTGCTAAGAATCTGGATCAAACAATCACTTTTCATATTTATTTCTTGTGAGATTTCTGTCCTCACTGCACTTGCTTTTAGAGAAACTAAAGTTGATGAAATCAGATGACACTGAAAAAGGCGAAGGACAATCCTTCTGAGGAACTCAGAGATGCAGTCAAAGGCAAAAAAGCGTCAGGCCTATAACAACACACAAAGGGACTTACGGTGAAGTTGGTTGCAGTGGCAAATCTAGAGCGGGGAAAAGGGAGGTTTATTACTAAGTGCCATACTACTTCTAGATGGCTAGCGTCCGCTCCAGTAGAACCCCTGAGAGGTTACAAGCTTTAACAGCTGCTCCCAGGATAACTTTTGAACAAGTGCACCCGCATCAGGAACATTTGTTCCTTCAGCGTCTCTCTGCGCGAGAACTCTTAAGGTTACTGTAAGCTGCAGCGGTGCTGAACAAGCATTTAGTATAATATGACAGCACACCTTCCACTCCATTTGCGCCTCCGCTGTCTCGTTCACAAACACTAGAAACATTAAAATAATTCCAAGAAGTGCAACGCTCTCAGGTCATCAAAGTCATACCGGCACTGGACATTCTAAAAGAAAAATGTTTTCAGTTTACGCCGTTCAAATTCTGCGTGGGGTCAGTTGAAACCGGCTGAACGCGAAATTCCCCTTTCACACCACAGAATTGTGACTATTGAACAGTTTAGGCTGCCACGAGACTGCGAAAGCTTATCTCAATGCAGCTTTAGTAAAAACGGTTTATGACACACAGCAAGGACTTTTTCGCGCAAGATGATTCACAATAGAGCATTTCTTCTGTAGTGTAGAGGAAAATAGCAGAACCAGCAAAGGAAGAAGGGCACTTCAAATGCGAACAGCAGCGGACTATGCTTATTCCCCTGACAAAAAGTTTTATCGTCTAACCAGCGACTACTCCCCTAACACTTTCTTCGGTGAGTCTACACTGAAGAGTTTTTTTCCACAACTTCTACAGGCAAAGACTACAATGCACTGCTGTACGTCGCCTATAGGTTGGGGACGGTAACCCATTAGATTTATGGAAATCAGATTCAATCAATTTCTGCCTGTGGTATTCAGCACCGAGTGAGCTGAAGTCGTTTTGGCTTCAGCAGCAAGGAGAGAGGCACGGTGTGATTGCTCGGATCCTTCCTCATAGTCGCTTGTTCCCCTGTAAGTGTGTCTTAATTGTCCCTTCTTAGCAGCTAGGGTGTCGTTTCAGTCTTATCTCTGGCCTTCACGCCTTCCCCTTAAGAGTATTGGTCTACTTCAGTGTATTTAAGCAGGCAAACTCAGCAGTAGCTGTGCTGAAAAGGAACCCGTGGTCACTTGGAAAAGCTTGCACCTAAAATAACTGCATGGTCTAGTGAAACTGTCATCGATCCACGCAGCACCGTACATGCGACACTATGGGGTTCTTTCTTTTTATACAAAAAAATGTATATAATGAAGGACAAGCGCTGGCTGACAGATGCAGTAATCATCAGGAGGTCACAGCCAAAACCAAGCCACCGTCTCACGCCTTGAGGGCAGTGACGCTTCGTGGAGATGACCAGCTGGCGCAACCCTGGACAAGGAGGCAGCCCGCCACTATCTTTCCTCCATCACTGTTTCTAGGCCTGGGGTTGGGTGTCGCTTTTCAGGGGATTACGGCATAGTCGTTAGATCTATCTTTCTCCTCAGGCCCTTCAAAAAGCAAGAATATGTGAGCTGTGGGCTTGGTGAGTGCGTGTCAGAGTGCTTTACTTCTGCATATTGGGACATTGAAGTAAAATGTATTAAGCGCATAGTGCCGCATTTTTAAGGCAAAGCTGCTTCCTCTAGACTCTACACTTCACTTGAAACATTCAGTTTTATTTGCCGCTGAAATTTGTGCGTCTGTTAAGATCGAATTCTTGTTGGACGGGAGACACGGACCTTGTCCCTTCTCTTGCAGGACAAAGGCGAGCTGCTCCTCTATCATGTATATTTCTCAGCTACAAATTATTTTTTAAAGGTTTAACTGACTGAGTACTTTGTTGCTTCAGTGTAACTTTAGGGGGGAAGCTACCTGGCTCTTTTCTTCCTACGAACGCTCAAAAGCACCTGCATGTGGCGGGCTGGCTGGGTTGGGTCCAAGGGCCGGTGTTAGTGCTAGAAGGTCATTTTGTTTCTCCCCTATATCTTCTTTTGGCTTTGTGCTGAATTACTTTACTGACTCACCGAAAATTTAGCACGAGCAGCGCAAAGCACCTTTACGGGGGCCCGCTGGGGTCTGCATGCACATAAATGGATCCCTGGACGTGTACATTGGCGTGACGTTGCTCTCTGAGCATCCCCAGAGGTCTGTCAAGCCCGGCTGCGTCATGAATGCGGGCTCAAGGACTCAGCATATTCAGAGCCCCTCAGCCCTCTAACGCCAGTATGTCCCCCTCTCCTCCGTCCGGGGTCACCTTGACCTCGCGCGAGGGGCTAGTCGCTGCTGCATGCTGCATTGGAAATAGACTCGCAGATGCATTGCCAGCCTTTGTTATGAGCGAAGGCGGGACAGGCTCACATCGTTCCGAGTGCTTTACTCAGAGCTTTCTCCGCCTTCAGCGGAAATTCCGAAACCGCGCAGAGCAGCTGCAGCAACGGCATCAGCAGCAGCAGCAGGAAGAAGCAGCACGCGGCAGATGGGCGAAGCCCCTGTACTGCCCGGACATCTACGGCTTCTCACCTGAGGCCACTGTGGAAGCACAAGCAGGTGAGGGAGAAGGCGACCTAAACATTGACGGGGTCATATCAGCTCTCCTGGAGCGCAGCGGAGCTGCGGCTTCACCCTCACCCACAGCAGCAACAGCAGCGGAAACAACAACAGCAACAACAGCAGCGGCCTCAACAACACCGGCAGGATTGACGGAACTCGACTCGAAGCAGTTTGCTGATGTGGAGCCCTTAAGCAATGAACAGCTGCTGC